GTTCCTGCCAGACTGTTGTTCTTCTACAGGTCAGTTCACTGGGCCCAGGTATACTATTTTCCTCCCTTAGCCCTTCAGCCATAAGGGTGGTAACAGCCTTCCACTGTTGGTTATCTGTGTGTACTTCGTGATCTTATCTGCTTCCTTGACATTGACCATGGAGTCTCTTCATTTGAACATTCTCCTAGTAGGATCCTTACCAGTGTGTGGTAAAGTCATCTTCTCCCTTCTCCTTAGGTGTTCATCTTCATTCCCCACCTCATATTTTGGTTGTTTCTGGGGAAAGGGGTAGTGGATATTGGACTCTGTCACTGAGGTCTCTCTTTTAGGACTGTGGTACTCACTCTCCTGTTGGGTGGGTAGGTGGGGGCTGTTGGTGATGTTCATAGCTGACAGTGTCATGGCTTTTGTGCTTCTTCAGGAATTTTCCTCAGCAGAAGAGAGCCACCTTGCCCAGGGTCAAACCCTTCGTCAAACATGGTCCACCTCCAGTGAGCCAATGACTGATCAGTGAGGAAAGGGGTGAGGTTTATAAAGTGAAATCTCCTTGCCAGGCTTGTACAACACTGAAGGGCCTTTCCAGCTCCAGCGCTCCATGCGAGATTGGCTAAAGATTTCAATGACACTGCATTGCTATTCAACTCCTCTGCCCTTCATTCCACCTGCTCTCCCTCATCAGTGCTGTTCCTGACAGCACTGTGAACTTCTTGGGCACATTATCTCCATCACGGTGTCTGTTTCCTAAGAACCTGTCCTGAGACAATGAGTTCCTGACTAAAGACCAACAAGTAGTGGCTCCATGCTGCTAGCCTTTGACAACAGTGCCTGCCAGGCTAGACCAAATTTCCTTCTGTCAAGTCCTAACCACAGTTTGCCACTCACCTGTCTGGATCTCCCACTTGCTCCCCACTCGTCAGAAATTTGATTAGTTGGTCCTCTCTCCCTCTGTGACTAGAGAGTCCAGTGTCTTTCCTTTGAACCATCTCATCACCAACTGACCTTTAGTGCTGATGTTCTTTCTCATAAAATAATTAAGATGGTTCTCAGTTCACACTATGTGCTGGCACATGGGAAAAAAGGTTTAGATCTAGATTCAGAGATAAATCTAAAGATAGATCTAAATATAGATTAATAAAATATTTTAAAATTAATAATTGGATTTTATGCATGTCTTCACTTACATTTGTTTATTTCTTATATCAGAGTAAAATTAAGTTGACTAACTTTGATATAGCATGCATAGAATGCTCCCATTACAATAAAAGTAGTTCTATATCATCTGCAAAAATACAGAGAAAGACATACACTTGATTTTATTTATGACTGGTGAGATTTGAGGTACTTTTTGAATTTTCTTCTTCTTCACTGTTGAAATTCCTGAAAATGAAAATTATTCTTCCAAAAATACTGAAGTGATTTTTCTAGTAAAAAAACAAAACAGAACAAACAGAAAAACGCAAATCCTCAATTCACTAATTTGACCAGAATAATCAGGATCTGTGTACCAGCTCACACCAACCAGATTCACAGAGGAATCAGAATTATAGTACGTTAATTAACATACCCAATCCTAGATTTAAGATACATCATCCAAAGAAGGCACCAACTTTTGGGGGACTATATTTACTCAGGATTTTAAACTACATATTAGAGGGTTGCTTAATAGAAGATATTCTCTAATAGAATTAGAGAAAAGACAGTAGGTCTGTTTTTTTTTAGGGAATTTCTTTGAAATTGTCTTTGGCTAATAATTTGTTCTTTGCTGAAGCAATTATTCTTTGTAAAGAACTGTTTTCTCACCCTAAAATCAAGACTCCATCTTCCCATCTTAAATATTTACTAGAAGGTACAGTTTCCCAAGACTATGATTAATATCACTGACACTGGAGGACTTTCCAAATCACAAATGCAAAAAGGTCATTTCTGGCAAGATCATCTTCAACTCAAACATAAATTTAACATCCATGGTAGCTACGATATCAGAAGTTGGCATCTCATACTTATCTCTGCAACCTTGGGTTTATCTCATTAGGGGGGTGGTTGAACCTTCCTGGTACTGAATACATCCTGTTCATGAGGAACAAAAAGAGTACGTGCAATATAAGGAAGTAGAGCCTGGGGGAGCTTTTAACTTTTTGAAAATTTAATGAAAAACATAAGTTAAATTAAATTTAATCCAAGACTTAAAAAGTGATTAATTATTGTCAGTAGATCTCATATCTTTCTTTATTAGAAAGAAATAAACATTCCACTCATTTCTTTCATTGACTTGGGTTGAACTTTTTCGTGGGGGAGAAGGAGGCAGAGATTTTTACTCCACTAGTATAAATGCTACAGGATGTTTTAGTGTCATAATTTAGAAACTCAACTGAAGACCGGGAGATATTCCCCTCTAGGCAAGGACTGTCTTTCTCTAAATTTTAAGTAACTAAATCATGATGTATCACATAAATTTAAGTTTTTAAAAAAATTATAATTCTATTAAGTTTATGTATATGAGCTTTGAATCCTAGTACGTTAGATTTCTAGCTCTCCTATTTTCTAGCTACAGACTCAGTGCAAAATAAAAATCCTTTATTTACTTCATTTATAAAACAGCAAAAATGTCACTTACCTACTTTTTAGGTAAGTGCTTACAAAGTAATATAAATGCTTACAAAGTAATATAAAATGTTGAGAGTACATACTAGGAGCTGAATAAATGAAATCCATTTGATAATCAAAGATGTTTAGAAGGGCTCATCAAATTCTTGTTTGAGAGTAGCTTTTCTCCTGTTTCCCATTTCTCAAATTACTGACCACACTTGGGGTAGTTGATCAGCAGACAGAAGTAGTACAGGTAATATCTAAGCCATTTTCAATTGAAATTCAGAGGTAAACACAAACATATCCACTTACGTTTACTTGGCTATCTTCCAGGAATGAATGCACTGTAATAATGCATACAAACACATACATATTCATAATGTATTTTACACATTAATATAAAGCATTCAAGGACATGGAACATGTTCGGTCTCCCACATCTGTTTTTGTCTTCTTCCTATTTCCTTCCATCCCTTAGGAATCTGGGCTCTCTTCTCTTACTTTTTTTTTTTTTTTTTTTTTAAATCAGGAGAACCATGGGCTTTGCTAGGCAAATGTTTCTCCAAGATCTAGGTCCCGTCAGTATCTTTTTCCAGAGCTACAGACTGCTTCCAACTACTTATTTGGCATCTCCGTCCTGATGGCACCCTAAATGGACTATACCCAAAGTTGCATTCATCATTTTATTCCTCCCAAATAGCATCTCCTTATGTCTTATGTCTAAATCTTATGTCTAAAATTGGAAATGAACTGGTTTTGACTCTTCCTCTCCTGATACCCTATGCTAACGGTTAATTTGAAGTCCTTTGCCACAACGTCTTAATTATCTAGTCTCTCCTTCCCATTCCCGTTTCTACCTTTCTACTGAGAAAGTCTCACCTCAAGTTTTATAACAACATCCTAAATGCTTTCCCTACCTCCAGCCCCCTTCCATTATAACCTGGCCTTCAGGTTATAACCTGCATGAACCTTCCTAAATCACAAATGCAATAATTTGCTTTCATTCTCAAAATCTGCCATTGTGAAACAGAGCAAATACAAACTCAGGCTTGGCATCTGAGGTTTCCTACCAGGTGTCACCAGGTTATCTTTTGAGCTGTATCACCCTCAATTCTTTTGACCCTGAGAGTGCATAAATGAATGGCCCCACAAAGGCAGATCTAGTTTGCCCGTGTAATTTTCTTTGACCCACAGATGTTTTTATACATATGGAATTAGTTGCTTATTTCCCTTAGTGGCTCACATTTACACATTGCCACATGGCACAAAGCTAGGCAGGGAGTGGCCTCTTAAATGGAGAAACATGCCCCGGTTCACCACAGCCTTCATCTGATTGGTGCTCTACCTCTTGATCTGGTCCTGGCTGGGTGCCTATAACCATGTGAATTGATGACACTTCCCCTGTACTACCTAGTGTCCCCATCAAATGCATCATTCCCAAATGCAGAGCATATCTTTGCTTATGTTATTCCATCTTTCTAGAAATGCTCTCTCCCTCCATCTTTCCTGTCTTTAAAGTTCATTTCAAACACTGTTACCTTCTGTGAAGCTTTCTCTGACCACCCTGCTGGATGTTACTGCCCTGATTTTGAAGCTCTGTAACACTTTGTAGTTCTTTTCTCTTATGGCCTGTATCCCACTCTTCACTGGATCAGTCATTGGTATCCTTGATTTCTTCCCATATCTCAGGGACGTGTATTGATGGATGTGTATCCCCCACTCCTCAAGGCTTTCTGAAGGTAGGGTTTTTCTCTTGACCTAGACCTTTCTTCCTCCTCCCTACAGAGATGGAGCAAGTCTCCATCTCTCCCCTCAGGGTTCAGCCTGTCCACACAGTGGAAATGACTTGCCCTACTTGGCAGAAAAAGCCCTGATGTGGTGGGTGAGCTTGTCAATAATGCTTGAATGTGTACATTTGTCCAATTCTGAAGTTCAGGATTAGGAGCCCCACTGTTGCCACATATCTAAGACAGGATTTTCCTTCCAGGTTTTAGCAGCAAACAAAGCTAATATTTTCATCTGCTCGAATACTTCTCTCACAACTGTTTTCAAACTCAAGCAGGGAAAAGGAAGGATTCGTATCCGGCATCCTTAATCCCAATAATGATTCACTCTGTCTTGAATCTTCTGCAGCAGATAGCAATGTCATTCACTGTACAGACAGGCACTCAAAACACATGTATCAAATTGAATCAAAGGATATAGTCAATGTATATAAAATTCATGGAATGTAATTTCTCTCATGTCATGTCCCCCCAAACCATAACTTAAATGTTTTTTTGTAGCTGTTAATGAAAAGCAAATGCTTCTGTATATTACATAAAATATTTATTTCTTATTTACACTTCCATTTTTATGTAAATCATTGCACATCATACCACATATCAAAAAAAGAAAAAGAAAGGAAAAAATATATAAACCTTAGACATCAGTTAAGAAAGCATCGCATGTGATGTGATACTTATCAGCAGTCTCGCAGGTCTCGTTTCTTGCTCTTTTTGGATTTTCTAGTAGTTTCTTGACGAATGGTATCATACTCCAATATGGCCATTTTGGAAAGTCTCTGTAAGTATTGAGATGATGCTCCAGCAAGAGGATCACTGAAGCCGGAAACTGTGAAGAAAAATAAATCATCTATTAAAGTTAAGCACATAATATTTTCTAAATAATATTCTCTAAAATAGAGGGCAAACAAAATCTCTCTTCCTCAAATGACCATTAAACACAGCTAGTTCTTGATATATCACATTCGATAAAGTAAAAATAGAAAGTATTTACTTTCTAAAGTAACGTGATATCAAGTCATCTCAAAACTATTTAACTAGGGGTGCCTGGGTGGCTCAGTCAGTTGGGCGTCTATTGATTTGGTTCAGATCATGATCTCAGGGTCAAGGAATTGAGCCCTGCATAGAGCTTCACTCAGCAGGGTGTGGGAGTGGGTCTCTCTCCCTCTCCCTCTCTGGTTCTCCCCCTTCTCATGATCTCTCTCAAATAAATAAATATTTTTTTAAAATGTAGCTAAAAAACTACACTGTTTGTATTTAATTATATAAAACTCAATCTGAGTCTATAATGTACTTTTTACAACAAGGGATGGCTGTGGAATTTATTCCAAAGCAAAAGATACAGTCTCCATAAATAATTAACTTGTTTTATACCTTGCATGCTCATCAAGTTATTTTCTCCAAATATACCATTTCTCATAAATGCTAAGTTTAGTAAAATAGTAGAATTGTAAAGGAAAATGAATCATTCATTAACTGAACAGCATTACTCAAGTTTCTATTATGGAGTGGTAGTAATAATAAGAAGAGATATATCAAATGATCTCTTTGTGTCAAGTACTTATATTTATTCCGGCCACACAACACTATGAAGTAGGCAACTAGTACTATCTTGGATCACAGATATAAAAAGAAGATTTAATGGCGTTAAAAAACTTGCCCAAGGGCAAAGGATTTGAATTCAGATTCATCAAATTCAAACTTCCCATGCAATCACTACATATTGCCCTAAATATGTAAAGACGAATAAATACTTCTATTTCAAAACATATAAAACTTTGAAAATAATATACTGATTCAAACTGTTTTAAAATATTATTTAATTTCAAATGGTGAAGTGTCAAAAAAGCTATCTAAAATTCTCTATTGTGGTTATTTTTGGTTTGTTTTGTTATTTGAGTGTATAACGTAAGTAGGAAGTTCAGAGAAAGAGGGAGCATGGAGGGGAAGAATATGATTGGGATACCTGTTCTTACTGGTATAATGAACCTGACACTTAGAAAAACTCTCTGGCTACAAATAAACTGGATTCTAGGTATTAAGCAAATGTCAAAAAACTTCAAAAATCTTCAAAACTTCATACAAACCAATGCAATTAAGTTGGAAGTTGTTAACAATAAGATAAGTTTAAAATTCTCAAATAGAAATTTAAACAACACATTCTAGATTACTCATCAGTCAAAAAAGAAATCAAAATAAGCATTAAAATATTCATAACTAAATTATAAAGAAAATATTACAAAACTTGTGTAATACAGCAGAAGTTATACATAGACAGGTTTATACCTCAAATTTCTATGTTAGAAAAGAAGGTTTGAAAATTAAAATTTTAGGTATAAGATACACATTAGGAAAATAATACACCCAAAGAACATAGTAGAAGAAAAATAATATAGGAAAGAGAAGAAATCAATGAAGTAGAAAACAAATTTACATTAAGAAATATTTTTTAGAAGATGAGTTCTTCATTGAAGAGAATGATAAAGAAGAAAAGTTTCTGGTGAGATTAATCAGAATAAAACACAGAAAGCACAAATAAATAACATTAAAAGAAGAGGGACACCTAGAGCGTGTGACTCTTGATCTCAGGGTTGTGAGTACAAGCCCCACATTGGGTGACTGGGTATAGAGATTACTTAAAAATAAAATCTTAAAAAAAAAAAAAAAAAGGGATGCCTGGGTAGCTCAATCGGTTGAGTGTCTGCCTTCGGCTCAGGTCATGGTCTCAGGGTCCTGGGACTGAGTCCCATGTCAGGTTCCCTGCTCAGCAGGGAGTCTGCTTCTCCCTTTCCCTCTGCCCCTACCCCTGCTTGTCCTTTCTCTCTCTGTTTCCCTGACAAATAAACGAAATCTTTAAAAAATAAGTGAAAAGACTGATTACATGGAATTACATGGAAATAAAAAACTTCAAAAAGAAAGAAGAGGGATAGAAGTTCAGATTAAACAAAAGCTCAACTTTATGCCAATATATCTGAAAACTTAGACAAAATGCAAAAAATTTTAGAAAATATAACTTACCAAAGTTGATTGAAGAATTAGAATGCCTTAAAAATCCTAAAATTAAAATGGTTGAATCAATATTAAAGTAATAATTCTTGCTTTGTTGTCTATTTTGTTTGATGTTAGTGTACCTACACTTCTTTCTTTTAATTAACGTTTGCATGATTTGTATTTTTCCCACCTCGCACTTTTGATCTTTCTTGCTCTTTAATTTAAGGTATGCCTCTTGCAAGCAACATATATTTTTCTCAGTCTGATACTTTGTGTTTTTCATTGAAATATTTAGTCTGTTTACATATAATGTAATTGTTGTTTTGTTTAATTTTGAATCTTTAATCTTGCTAATTGTTTTCTATTTGTCCTATATGCTTTATGTTTCTTTTTCCCTCCTTTCTTGTCCTCTTTTGAAATGATCAACTTTTTTTCCTCATTTTATATTTCCCCTCTATATTAGCTTGTTACTTGTATTATTTTATTATTCTTTTACTGGTTGTCATACAGAATATCATGTGTCTCTTTGACACATTACAATCTACTTTAAATTAGTTATTCTACCATTTTTTCAGATAATGGGAGTATGTTACAACATTTTAACTCCACATAGGCCCCATCCTACCTCTGTGCTACTATTGTCAAGTATTTTATCTCTACATAGATTTTAAACTTCATAATACTACTGCTACTGCTTCTCATTCTTTAGCAGTTGTACTTCCTTTTTGTATCACTTCTTCCTTAATATTTTTTAGTGAAGCTCTGCAGACAATAAATTCTCTCAACTTCTATTTGAATGAAAATGTATTTGTTTCACCTTTAATTTTAAGGGTATTTTCACTGGGTATCCAATTCAAGTTTGGCAGTTACCTCTTTTAGCCCTTGAAAATGCTATTCCACTGTCCTCTTGCTTCCATTGTCTACATTTAAAAAGTCAGTTGTATGTCTTACCAGTGCGCCTTTGAAGGAAACCTGTCTTCTCTGTTTTCTTGTTTTGTGTTTTTTTTTTTTTAACTTAGTCTTTTTATTATGATGTGCCTAGCTGTGGTTTTCTTTGTTTTTATTCTGCTGAGGACTCTCAGAACTTCTTGAATCCTTGGCTTTCTATTTTTCATCAAAATTGGGAACTTATCAGTCAGTATGTAAATACTGTTTCTGTCCTAACCTTTTCATTCTGGAATTAGAATTATGCATGTGTAAAGCGGGTTTATCTCGTCACATAATGACTTGCACACTGGCTTCTATATATATTATCTTTTTTCTTCCTCCACTTTAATTGGGTATTTTCTAATGATCTTTCATTTTACAAATCCTTTCATCTGTTGCTTTCCATCCCTCCCCCAACTTTATTGCAGTATATTTCACAAATAAAAATTGTGTATATTTATGGTTTACAACAAGATGAACTGATATACATATATACTGTGAAGTGATTACTGCAGTTAAGTTAATTAACACGTCTATCACTTCACATAGTTACTTTTTCTGGGAAAGTAACTCGTTCTCATCTGGGAAGACAAGAACACTTGAGACTTGCTCTCTTAGCAGATTTCAGTATACAATTTACTATTATTAACTATAGTCACCATGCTCTACATTGGATCCCCAGAACTTATTAATCTTAGAACTATAATTTTGTACCATCATCTCCCCATTTGCCCCACTCAAAACCGTGGTAACCACCATTCTATTCTGTATGTTTGACTTTTTTTATTTTTTACTTTTATTTTTTTAAGATTCTGCATCTAAGTGATTGATTCCATTAGGAACAAAGTTCCATGAAGCATTTGTCTTTCTCTGTATGGCTTAATTCACTAAGCATAATGCCCTGTGGGTTTAACCATATTGTCACAGACAACAGATTTCTTTTTTTACTGCTATATAATACAGGTATCCCAGCTTTTCAAAAGTTCATGTTAAGCCATTTTACTTCTATGAAAGATCTACAATAGCACCTGTCTTTGCTAATTGCCAAGAAATCCAATAGAGTTTTTTCATTTTGATTTTAGAAAGGTAAAAGCTGAAAATAGTGTTCAGTGTTTGTTTTGCAGTGAGCCATTATAGAGGTAGCACGTGCCCTGACCGGTGAGAGCGACACCATCAAGCTCCGTCCTGAGCTATACTCAGCATCTCAGCATCAAGCTGCCACAGCTTTGAAAAATTTCAAAGGTCAGAAACTCAAAGCAAGACTAGCATGCAGACCATGCAATGGTCCATATGAGAGATGATGAGGGCCTATCCCAAGGTCCTGAGATAATAAAGGTATGTGTATAAACAACCACTATGTTTATAAGATAAACAAAGCTTAAAGAAACATTAAAAAGGGGCGCCTGGGTGGCTCAGTGGGTTGAGCCGCTGCCTTCGGCTCGGGTCATGATCTCGGGGTCCTGGGATCGAGTCCCGCGTCGGGCTCTCTGCTCAGCAGGGAGCCTGCTTCCCTTCCTCTCTCTCTCTGCCTGCCTCTCTGCCTACTTGTGATCTCTGTCTGTCAAATAAATAAATAAAATCTTTAAAAAAAAAGAAACATTAAAAAGAACAAAGCAATTAAACCAGGGGAAAGAAAGGAAGTTAAAAAGAGTAAGTATGGGACAACCTAATAAGACATGTGGTGGGAGAAGAAAATGAGCCAACTTACCCTTTGGTTTCTCCTGAAGTGGTACCACAGTGTGGGTTTCCTTAGTCTTCCTTATCCTAAAATTGCATATTATCATAAAATCACCTTTATGTAAATCCAGGATAGATTAATTATAAAATACAATAAGAGACAAGAAGCTGCCTTTAGCAAAACTCACTTTGCGAAGGACATCACATGGAAAGTAAATAAACATTAAAGAAAGTGAACTCATTCCACCATAACTGATCCAATCAGAAGCAGATAGGAACAACTCAACATCTTAGGTTTTGCTAATAAATTTTACCTGTAGATAAGTGTAATGCCTAATTTTCCCCATATTTATCTTTATCTTAACTTTCTCCAAGTATAATTCAGGGAATGGTAAGAGGAAGGGAATCAAGATTAAATTAAAAAGGTATCTAGACAGGCCAATACTAACTATTGCTTATTTGTGTACCTTTTATTTGTTAATCACCACAATCTGAATTTTATCTTAATTAACTTTTGTTCCTACTGGGAACAGACCTACATAACAAGTGGGTTATTAGAGGAAGTATGTCACCACCGAACCTGCCATAGGTGAGATAATCCATAAGAACTGCAAATTTCCTGTAACTATATTAAACTTTAGAAGTCAGCCAAAACTTTTATTTTTTTTTAAAGATTTTATTTATTTATTTGACAGACAGAGATCACAAGTAGGCAGAGAGGCAGGCAGAGAGAAAGGGGGAAACAGGCTCCCTGCTGAGCAGAGAGCCCCATGCGGGGCTTGATCCCAAGACTCTGGGATCATGACCTGAGCCGAAGGCAGAGGCTTTAACCCACTGAGCCACCCAGGCGCCCCCAGCCAAAACTTTTAAATGCCCTTCACCTCTAGGATTACTACTATCAGTTACATTACCAGAGTGTGCCTTGAGAGTCATTTAAAGTGTATGATTATAATTAAAGAAATTTGAGGGGTGCCTGGGTGGCTCAGTTGGTTCAGCGTCTACTTTCAGCTCAGGTCATGATCCCAGGTTCCTGGGATCCAGCCCCACATTGAATTCCCTCTGCTCTGTGGGGAGCCTGTTTTTCCCTCTCCCTTTCCCTGCCACTCCCCATGCTTGTGCTCTCTCTCTGTCAAATAAATAGATACAAAATCTTTAAAAAAAAATTAAAAAAAAAATCAGCATTTTTAAAACAAATATTCACATATGGAAGGAAAAAAGGTGGGAAGGGGTTGTACACAAGACGAACAAAAATGTGTTACTTCCCTGCTATGCCACGGCTTTTCGTTCACGGGGCGCTGTGCAATATGCAGAGGAGAATAAAACACTTGCACGCAACTTGACATGTTCTCACTAGACTGGCTAAAATAAAGACACTTGTTTCAAAGACAGAGAAAAGAACTAACATTTATGTTGGCCAAGCACTTCATAAACATTATGGCACGTAGCCACCACTCTTCTACTTTGTATATGAACAGCACTTGTCATAACATGAATTTAATGTATTCAAATTATCCTTCCCTGGTTAGGCAAATTCACACTCAAGTCAATGTAAAATGGTGAGGAATCATTTCACAAACAGCCAAATTGCAAATGAAAGAAAAATGAAACAGAGTGAAAACAGTAGGAAGCCAAAGGAAAACTTAAGATTAAGAAGTAGTTGGGCTAATTCAAAGGGAGCTTTCTGGGTTTCCAGTTTCTTACAGATGAGCATGTGCACCGAGAAAAGAGTAACAAGACTGCTCTGTACTGAGACAAGTGTACTGCCAGCCCTACACCCTCCTCAAAGGGTCCTGAGACTCCCAATGAGAATGTCAAGGGTCAGGTAAGGGCTGGGGACACGGGGGTCTCAGTAAGGATGGAAAGTCTCTGTCCTTAAGTAGGTTTTATACTGTGTTTCCAGCTGTCTCTGTTCTTTCTACATCCCTGCCATCCCTCCTATTTACCGGTTACCATTTATTCCACTAGCAACTCGCTCGCTCTCTTCCACCATTGCTGATTCTGCCTTATTTCATTATAATCTCGTGGAAGAAAGAGTAATTTTGCTTTTCATATTTTTACAGCTTGGAAATCTGTCCTCAGATAATATTAAAAATGATAGGGAATAGTTTGGGGGCACCTGGGTGGCTCAATGGGTTGGGCCTCTGCCGTTGGCTCGGGTCACGATCTCAGGGTCCTGGAATCAAGGACTGCGTCGGGCTCTCTGCTCGGCCAAGAGCCTGCTTCCCCCCCCCCGGCCCCCGCCTGCCTCTCTGCCTACTTGTGATCTCTCTCTCTGTCAAAGAAATAAAATCTTAAAAAAATGATAGGGAATGATTAAACAAACTATGGATCCATTGAGATACAATGTAGCCAGTAAAGACTGTTTGAAGATCATGCAGTGACATGAAAAAATGAGTATGTGTAATAATAAGTTAAAAAGGCAAAATAAAAAATTGTAAGTACACTAAGATCATAGAGAAAACAAAGTCCACAAAAATGAAGAAGAAAAAAAGAGAGCAAACACCCAACAAGAAAAGTCGATACGTTACAATGGGTAAATTATCAAAATACTGTTTATCTTTTTTTGCTCCAAATTTTCTGTGAAGTTCTTATGCATTTTCATAATTTAGTAAATTATGCATAACTTTTCATTTTTAGTGTCATTTTATATGACCAAAACTTATTTCAAGATAATTAACAAGAACAACACTGTGGAAAAGTATATTCTAAAACTCCTATGCTTGTGTGCTGTGTGTAACTGGCTGACTTTAAAGCTCAGGAAATATGAAAATACAAAATTTCCCCTAAGGAAAGTAGCAACTCAGACTACTATAAATGCAGCATCTTTTTTTTTTTTTTTTTTAGGCTGCCAAAGTGAATAAGTCCTAGATATTCAATAGATACCTGATGAATACATAAATAAACCAAAGCAGCCACCAAATCAAATATGAGGACCGTCTTACTAATTTCTAGATCCCTTTGGAGAAAGGGGATTTCTTTTAATGGTATGCCAGCCAGCCTAATTTATAAAAAGGAAGGTAATTGTGATAATGGCTTTAAATGCCAATATTCAAAGTGAGTCGGACTTTTCTGGCTGACGCCTCCTTGTCCACTCGTCAGCTCTGGTCTTCTTCAGGCTGTCATCTCATTTAGAACCTGCCCTCGCATGACATCACTCAAACTAGAGACGAAACCCGAGGTACTATATTCATCGTACAGAAACCTGTTAACATTGCAGAGACTTCATTTAATTTTATTGCTAAAAATTCCGATATTCTCATGGGCAATCTACACTAGAGCAGCAGATATTTTTAAAAGGAAATCCTTAAGTCCTTTCTGGCAATGTCCCTTGAAAACTGAGAAAACGGCTTACTTGTCAAACTGACTAAAATTACTACCTAGACTAAAACAAGAGATCCTTTATGAAACAAATATCAGTGGGCAAGAAAGACTTCCACTCACTAGGCAGGAAAACCTCTCCGTTTAGCAGTTATTACTACAGATGCGAGTGGAAGGCAAGAGAACTGAATAGCAATGGTCTACCTGACTGGACACATCTCGGGCTCAGCCTGCAGCAGTCTCGGACGAACTTCCAGTGGAGTTGAACTTACACTTTTTGGGCAACTCTGCAGTCCTGGTAAATATGGCATCTTGACACATTCTTTGAACTCTTCTAGACCAAAGGCTGTGGTGTATTCTAATTAAAAATGGTATCATAATTAATGGTATTATTTCTTGATGAAATGTATATAACTTCTTTTACTACATACTAAAATGCATAATACAATATACTCAATCAGTCATTAAGAAGAGAAAATAAAGCTACTGTCCTTTATCTAGTATCTTTCCCAAGTAGAATAAGGAAAAAGGGCAGGTTCACAGATCTCCTACAGTTGTCCCTGTCTTCTGCCCTCATTATTTTATATAATTAGAATTTCCAGAATATTAGAGATATTCACATTGAAATAGAGTTTAAAAGCATTTTTAAGAGTCTAATATTATCTGCTACTTTAAACCTTTCTACCTTCTTGCTTTTATGTAAATAAGAGGTATAAATACATGATTATTTAGTTAACAATGAGACATAAAAGAATTTTTTTCAGGCATTGATTTTAATTTTCTCAGGGGCGCCTGCATGGCTCAGTGGTTAAGTGTCTGCTGTCAGCTCAGGTCATGATCCCAAGATCCTGGGATAGAGCCCCACATTGGGCTCCCTGCTCAATGGAGAGTCTGCCTCTCCCTCTCTCCTTCTCCCTCTGTTGCTCCCCCCCATGCTTGTTCTCTCTCTCTGTGAAATAAGTAAATAAATGAAATCTTTAAAAAATGATAATTTTCTCTCTGCAAAATTTCACAGCAAACCTATAAACACTAACATTGAAGCATCAAGGTTTCTTCTTCTACTGACCTCACATAAAAGAGATTGTCAAATTATTTAAAAACAAAACAAAATGAAGTCTAGCACAGTAATAAAAATAGTATTTAATGGGACTGGAGTTATATTAAATCCTCCAAATGCTATTTTGCTACCTTTGATTTTTCTTCTTCTGGGAAAAAAAAAGTTTCTCCTGATCAAAAAACATACAAATTCTCTTTTCAGCAATTTAGGGGTAAAAGGACAGGTAAACTTATGTTTTCTGAGTATATTTAATGGGAATACAGTGGAAAAGTTGGAAAAATAGAGCAATACACTCAAAACCAGGAGTGATGACATGGGTTGGGGAGTTTGGATTTTACTCTTTTCAAGAATTACATCTCTATTTATAAAGCTGAAGGCAGAATTCAGGATAAACAAGAAATACAATTAAAATTTGAAATTTGAAGTATAAACTGAAATTAAACTATTAATATATTCATACACATGTCAAAATTCCTCAAATTAGTCCTTACTGAGCAAGGGTAGAATATAAAATACTTTCCACATAACTCACACAAAAAATAAAGTTCTGGTTAGAATTATGAATACAAAAAGATGCTATTAAAGATTTGGGTTTCTTAAAACACAAAAATCAACTTGAGATGCTTAAAAACAAAATTTGTGAAAAGTAATATGACCCAACAGAGGTAGTACTGCACTGATGCCAAGAGAAGTAGTTCTTTAAAATTTGTTTCTATCATGAGTTACAGAATTTTATTAAGTAAATTAATTTTAATTTGCTTCCATTTTTATTTTCCATAAACTTAAGATATTATCCTTCCATAAATGTTACAAAAATTATAAGATGTCTCCTGACTGCTTAAAAAAATATATGTGTTGTTTAAGGCACTATTTCTATATTTTCTTCAGTAAAATAACTGTAAAGATAAACTTACCTTTCTTCATCTTTTGTGTTTCTAAAACTGCTTTCCTCCAACTACTCTCAAAAAGAAAACAACTGTCAAAGGAATTTCTGGTAACATTGGAAGTATCAAATTTGATTTCCGGAGACAGGACTGGCATTTTTTCTCCTTTCGACAGTGCTGATGAAAGTGAGATTCTGCTTCAAATTCAGGACACAAAATACAAAAAAAAAAAAAAAAAAAAAAAGCCAACACAAAAAAACATATTTTAGAGATAAATATTTTTTCTGATTTGTTTTCCATCATACAGATTAAATATTAACATAGACTTACATGGAAAGTTCACTTATAACATGTAAATACATAATCCTGTGATTTTAAAGTAAGTGGCCTTTAATAATATAGCTAAAATTGGTAGTAAAAGTTCTTTCTTTTAAATATTTTAATAAGTTCTTTCAACTCCCAGGGCACAGATATTTAGCAATATAAAAAAATTTGAAGTTCAACAGTAAATTATGGGGCACAAGACAATAAAACGTTTAGGATTCTCTCAAATATATTACTGTTATACACAACGACCAAGTGGGACTTATCTCTGGGAGGCAAGGATGGTTCAACACAGAAAAATTAATGTGATATACCACTTTAAAAGAATAAAGGATTAAAAAGTCACATGATCATCTCAATGGATACAGAAAAGGCATTTGATAAAATTCAACAGTCTCAACAAAGACAAAGAAATAAAGACAAAGAGATAAAAGACAAAGACAAAGAGATTAAAATCTCTCAACAAACTAGGAAGAGAGAAATTATCTCAACATAATAAAGGCATGTAAAGTCCACAGTTAACTTCACAATCAATGGTGAAGAATCAAAATGTTTTCCTCTAAGATAAGGAATAAGGCAAGGATGAACACTCTTACCACTTCTATTCAACTCTAAGTCCTAGCCAGAGCAATGAGGAAAGAAATGGAACTCAGACTGGAAAAGCAACAGTAAAACTGTCCGTTTACAGATGTCATGATCTTAAATATGTAGAAAATCCTACAGACTCCACCAAAAAAATCACTTGTACTTTTATACACTCAATAAACTATCTGAAAAGGAAATTAGGAAAACAATCCAATTTATAATAGTATCAAAAAGAAGAAAATACTTAGGAATAAACTTAGCTAAGGAATGAACAAATTATACACTGAAAAACACTGATGAAAAATTAAAGAAGACACAAGCGGAAAGACATTCTATGTTCACAAATCAGAAAACTTAATTTTGTCAAGATAACCATACTACCAAAAATGATCTACAGATCAATACAATTGAAATCCCAATGGCATCTTTATACAGAAACAGTTAAAAACATTCAAAAATTCATATGGACTCACAAAGGACCCCAGATAGCCAAAATAATCTTGAGAAAGAAGATCAAAGCTGGAGGCATCAAACTTGCTAATTTCAAAATATATCACAAAGCTAAGGTAACCAAAACAATATGATAATGGTATAAAAACAGACATATAAGCCACTGGAAGAATAGAATCCAGAAATAAATCAACATATACACAGTCAACTGGTCTTTGACAAGGATGCCAAGGAGTACACAAGAGGGGAAGGATAGTCTCTTCTAACAAACAGCATTGGAAAAACTAGATATCCACATGTGAAAGAATGAAACTGAGTCCTATCTTACACCATAAACAAAAATCAACTCAAAATGGATTAAAGACTTAAACCTAAGACTTAAAACTGTAAAACTCCTATAAGAAAACATAGGGGGAAAAACTTCATGACATTGGTCTTGCAATGATTTTATGGATATGATGCCAAAAGCACAGGAAACAAAAGCAAAAATAGACAAGTAGGGCCGGCATCAAACTAAAAAGCTTCTGCACAGCAAAGAAAACGATCAGTAGAGTGAAAAGGAAACCTCTAGTCTGGGAAAAATATTTGCAAATCATATATCTGATAAGGGGTTAATATCCAAAATATATAACTCCAAAGCAAAAAACAAAACAAAAAACCCTAATAACATGGTTTAGAAATAGGTTTAAGGACTTGAGTAGACATTTCTCCAAAGACATACAAATGGCCAACATGTATATGAAAAGATGCTCTGGCCAAGGCCAAAGAGGTTACTGCCTGTGTTCTCCTCTAGGATTTTGAGGTTTCCTGTCTCACACTTAGGTCTTTCATCCATTTTGAATTTATTTTTGTGTATGCTATAAGGAAGTGGTCCAGTTTCAACAGCATGCTGCTCTCCAGTTTTCCCAACACCGTTTGTTGAAGAGACTATCTTTTTTCCACCGGATATTCTTTCCTGCTTTGTTGAAGATTGGTTGACCATAGAGTTGTGGATCCATTTCTGGGTTTTCTATTCTGTTCCATCGATCTATGCATCTGTTTTTGTGCCAGTACCATACTGTCTTGATAACTACAGTTTTGTAATATGGCTTGAAATCTGGAATCATGATGCCTCCAGCTTTTCTCTTTTC